AGAGGAGTCAAAACTTTTTACTATTTTACAGACAACCAAAGGAGCGTATGTATAAGCACAGACTATAGACTTGCTGTATGGACATCTCAGACTTTTTTTGCGAAGTTCTATCACTAACATATTTTCAATGTAGTTTTTATTGCATAAAGTTGTGATAAGCTTTCTTACTAATTTTTAATATATCTATTTTTAATTTTTTTGTAGTAAAATTTACTCTTATCCATTTCTTTCTTTTTTTTTTTTACAGTTTAGAGGTGTTTACATTCACATTGTTGCGCAACCAACCTCCAGAACTTTTTCATACCCATTAAATAATAACCCCCCATTTTCCCCTACCCTAGCCCCTGGCAACCACTATTTTACTTTTTGTTACTATACTAAAGTTGACTACTCTAGAGGCTTCATAACAGTGGCTTATTTCACTTTGCAAAATGTCCTCAAGGTATATCCATGTTGTACTGTGTCAGAATTTCCTTCTTTTTTAAGGCTGAATAATATACCATTATATGCATATGCCAGCTTCATAACAGTGACTTATTTCACTTTGCATAATGTCCTCAAGGTATATCCATGTTGTACTGTGTCAGAATTTCCTTCTTTTTTAAGGCTGAATATTATACCATTATATGCATATGCCACATTTTTTTTTTTATCAATTTATCCATCGATGCATATTTAGGTTGCTTCCACCTTTTGGGTATTGTGAGTAATACTTCTTTGAACATCGGTAGGCAAATATTTTTCGGGACCATGCTTTAAATTCTTTTAGATATATGCCCAGAAGTGGAATGACTGGGTCATAATGTAGTTCAATTTTTAATTTTTTTGAGAAACTGCTACCCAGTTTTGTTTTTTTTTTGACTGTATACTTTACTTTCAGTATTATTTTGTATTGGTTTCAGGGTTACTGCTATACAGTTTTCTATAGTAGCTGTGTATCATTTTACATTCCCACTAACAGTGTACAAGTGTTCCAATATGTCTACATCCTTGCCAACATTTGTTATTTTCTGTTTTGTTTTGTTTTTTGGTAGTAGTCGTCTTAATGGGTAGGAGGTGAACTTTACTATTTTTCATGTAAAATAATTTCAAAAAGGAAAAATATTTTGTTCTGAGTGGAAAATCAACATAAAGTTACATCATTTTGAATTTAAATAAAATGAAACTTTATGAAATTTCACCTTAAAAACGAGATTTCAGCGCTTGCTGGTGGCTGAGTTGGTTGGAGTGTCGACTAGTACACCAGAAAGGTTGTGGGTTTGATCCCCAGTTAGGGCATGCACATACTGGAGGCATCCTATGTTTCTCTCTCACATTGATGTTTTTCTCTCTCTCTCCCTTCCTCTCTCTAAAACATATCTTTGGGTGAGGATTTAAAAAGTGAGATTTTTCCATTTATTTTATTTTATTTTATTTTTTTAGAGAGAGTGGAAGGGAGGAGGGGGGGGAGAGAGAGAGAGAGAGAGAGAGAGAGAGAGAGAGAGATATCAGTTGCTTCCTTAAACATGAGAGAGACACATTGAGTAGTTGCCTCCCACTTGTGCCCGAGCAGGCTGGGGATCGAACCTGCGACCCTTTGGCCCAAGGGCTGACGCTCTAACCACTGAGAAAAACTGGCTAGGGCCTATTTGGACTTTTAACAAATTTATTAGTATTCATTTTTGTTCAACTAATTTGGCCGTCTTTTATTAATTTGTTCATTTGAACACTCTTAGATTTCCTTGCTAGATATAGAATTATGATAGGCAGAGAAAGCATCTATTTCTGCTGTTAAAGAAATTGTTTATAACTAAATCCCACATATCCACAAACTAAATGGAAAAGTGAAGCATTTGTATGCCTATATTCATAACGCATGGACACAGACAATAGGGTGGTGAAAGCTTGGGGTGGGGACGGGGGGCAGGCTAGAAGAGGTCAATGGGGGAAAAAGGGGGAATATCTGTAATACTTTCAACAATAAAGATTAAAAAATAAACAAATAAAGAAGTGGATATGTGAAAACTGGGAAGTAAAGGAAAACCTCTTTTTATTAAGTGAAAACATTTTTAGCTTATTCTTTGCCCAGAGAAGTGGGCCAGCTTGCTTCTGTTTTTCTTCAAAGAAAAGGGTGTGGGTTTAGTAGAATAAATTCTGATGTTTGAATGTCCATTCTTTTCATGTAGACCAGTGGTCGGCAAACTGCGGCTCGCGAGCCACATGCGGCTCTTTGGCCCCTTGAGTGTGGTCACAAAGTTTCAATCGCACTGTACGTGCGCGCCCACACGTGGTATTTTGTGGAAGAGCCACACTCAAGGGGCCGCAGTTTGCTGACCACTGATGTAGACTCATGTGTACCAACAGAGAGGGTCTTTGTCTAAAGAAGTCCTGGAGGACTATTAGGTTCTCTCTGTGTGGGCAGGCTCTTCACCCCTACCCCAAATTTATTTTGTCCTTTCTTTGGTTGGGAGAAAACATTAAAGGAGTAATATATGTATCAGACTGTGCATGTAAAATGCAATAGAGGTTTAGAAAACCAAGACACTGTCCCCATCCATTCCTTCCTCTTTTAATGATGTAATGAGATGATAGGCTTCAGAAATATTCAAGCAGGGTCTGGGGAAGCTTAGACAGACACACTGTACTTTTAGTCAAGCTCTGTCTTTGTATGTCCTCCCCGGGGTAGAAAAATTGGTTCCTTTCCTGAAGATCCCCTTTGCCAGATGTTACACATGAAATTTATGGTGATGATCTGGTCCAGGTCCATTGTTTATGCAGGAAGTTTACCCAACACACACCCGCCTCTCCCCTGCCCCCCTAACAACTGATAAGACCTTTGATTAATTAGGTTTCTGTCCTTCCGAGTAAGAGGAAAAACCCCAAATTGGAAAATGGAGTGAAGCTGTAAACCTGAAGTTAGACTTCATCCCCACCCCTCCACCTCCGTGACTAGGAATGAATGTGTTTTTGCTTCTATCTTTGGTCTCTTTAAAGTAAAGGATGGCAGAGGTTGCAGGTGATGGACGCTGGCAGTGCCATAGTCTGAGAGGCTGGTCACAGAGACCCAGGGGGCAGCACTGTTCAAAGAGAGAAAAATACTCGGTGTGATATGCTTGGAGTCAGTGTCTGCTATGAATTACATGAGCGTTTCATTTGAAATCTAACTACATTCAGCATGGAGCCCGAAGTTAATAAATATACTAGCTCTTTGTTTGACTATTAGTTGTGGTTAACTTGAAATCACATAGCAAACATAATCAGAGTGACAGAAAAGGAAAAGTATTATTTACAACTTTTCACTTTCTGAATCTACTTTCAGTTTTTTTCTTTGGTGCATTTCAACTAGCTTCTAAGATGTTCAATGTAGACATTTTTGTAGCCTGGGCCTCAGACTTCTTTTTCCTCTGCCTACCCTCTGTTTTATAAAGTGCAGATCTTTTGTGATGAACATGTGCTTGGGCGGCATCATCCTTTCCTTGGAATGTAAAATGGAAAGTGTTGAAATGTTCATCCGTGAACTCACCCATGAGCTGGAGAATCGTGATAGACATTCACATCTTAAGGGGAAATAATCAGCTGACAGATGTTGCTCTGTGGTCTGAAGAAATAATGGTTTTGCTTCCTAAGGTTTTTGGAGGAATGTTGGTATTTTTGAACCTATTTCCCATATTCCTAACTCATGATCTAAATAAAAGCTACGTGTGGCTCTACTGATACTTAAGCTTTGCATGGTGTTAAGGCTGTTCCTCTCAGCAAAACCATTGTTTACCAAACACCGGAATTTTCTGATAACGCACACTATCCTGATAAAATGCACAAAAGCAATGCTAAAAACTAGCATCTAGCATGGAACCTAAGGGTTTGGTTGTAGGCCTGGAAATGCATATTTCAGTGAGCATCTATGATTGGAAGCATACATAGATTTCCCCCTCTTTGGTAGAAAAATGGTTCTAAGTCATAGGAAAGGTAATGTGGTATTGATATCTGTGATTTTTCTTGGCGAATGAGCCATCAGAGCTTGGGAGTGAGAGATGAATATCAACACCTGGAAGTAAAGGGACCCCCTTTTAGTTGGTTACACAGCATCGTTAACCTCCCATAGACAGCAGCTTATGAAGTAAAACATCAGCATGTGTGAAGGGTGGTTTCTGAGCTTTTTTCTGAATTGTCACAGCCTGAAATGTGTAAATTATCAGTCTGTCTTTGAATGACTTCTTAGTTGCATCTTACTTGCAAAAACCCCCAAGCTCAAAAGTGGTTGCTGTGAAACAGCTACCTTTGTCATAGATGTCGCACATAATATTGCTCCTTCTGTTTACCCTTAGCCTTGGGCTGTGGGGGGCAGAAGCCTCCTTCTCCAAAGGGGAAAAGTGGCGAAAGGAAAACCATTCCATTAGCCGCAAGCAGTTAGAAATGTGTGAGGGTCTGAGGTGCCTTGCATGTACTTCAGAACCATTTTATCTAATTTTATAATATAATTTCCCCCCAAAAGAACATAGCCTGGGAGAATTGATAAATTATAAACAATTCAGGATTTGCTTTCTGAATTGTTAATGGGTAGAAGGCCATCTGCTTCACCATATGGAAGTACTGTCCTCATCCATATGAAGCCAACACAGTTAGAAACCAGAACCACAGGAGGACGCAGCCTTCCTGCTCCTCGTGGCTTTACCTTTTTATAGAATTCATTCAGCCCCACCTTACTTAGGGTTCAGAGACTCTGCTCTTATTCTAAGGGCACATCACTCAGAATATGAGCCCCTGAGAAAAGGTTGAAGTGGACGGAGCGAACCCCTTCATAACATGGTGTATAAACTGATGTAGTAAATTCAATATTCACTTAATTTAAAATAACTTCATTGTGTTTTATTTAGTGAGGCACAACACGTGCTAAAAACTTTATTTTTATTTTTAAATGATCCCTTTGTAACCCAATAGCTAGTGTCCGCTCTTTCCTCTGAATTGGGATTTTGAAAAAGCATTTTTGTGCTTGTGCATGATGTTTGTGTGTTTGCTTTAAGATTGCAGCGACTACCTGGTGGACGACGAGTGCCTGCTGAAGCTGCTGAAGGGGTGCTGCCTGAAGAACTTACAGCGCCCCCTGCAGGCGGAACTGTGCTTCTCTCATGTCATCCAAAGGTAAACAAAGGAGGAAACCCTCTGGTGGCGGGCAAACTGTGGCTCCGGGAGTTCCTGTTGGAAAGTGATTTCTCTTGCTGCTACCCTTTGACTCGGTGTTACCGGAAACAGAACCCAGGAGTGTTGTCTTTGTCCCCAGGAGGCTTTGCCAGCCCAGAGCCACATCCATGTTAATTTCATGGCATCGAGGTTCTTGGACCTTTGGGCAATGTAAACTTGAATTGCAAACTCATGTGAGGGCAGGCCTATTGGTTGTTAATTTCTCCAGGAATGTGCTTTTACTTTCCACCTAGAGCAGAGGTCCAGGAGCCAACTGCCCGTGTTTTCCTCCTGCGCCAGAGATTTTTTTTCTCATCTTCCCTTTCTCTGATGGAGCAGCCTTTCAAGGGCCCCAGCTTGTGCAGAGGTCTCAGTCCTGCTCCCTGTCCCGTGGGCCAAGGCCTCCTCTCCTCCATGGACATTGAAGCACTGAGCCCCGATTGTTCAGACTGGAGTGGACCCGGACTGCTTGGGCATCCACACACAAAGAGTTCTGGTTTTGTGTTGTTTTCAGTTCGAGAATTTTCCTTATGTTCGTGGGAGCTGAGCTATGCATTTGAAAGTGTATTACTCATATATTTTTAGTGCTTGCAGATGTTTTGTCGTCAGAGAATTCTTATAATATTGCTGAAAACAGAAGTTATTGCCTTTTTTTTTTTAGCATAAGACGTAACAAGTCGAAGTGACCCTTCATAAAAAAATAATACAGCATTCTTATTTTTAAATATTTATGTTCAGGAGTATGATCTTGTCCTTTCCAGGGTTAGGCTTTGAAGATTATAGCCCATATGTGTTCATATTCCTAAGGGGCAGTAAATAATCCAGTTCAGACTAAGGAATAAAATAAGAGATTAATATAGTAAAAGCATACTGTGTATTGCTGTAGTTTATTAGATTCTTTGAGTAAATTTTGTATAATGACAGCTTTGCTCTGAAAATCATGCTGCTAAACACCGGTTTTATGGGAAATGGGGAATGCTGAAATATGTATGTTGAAAAAGAATGACACCCTTCTTGTTCTGTTGAGACTGAATTGCTTTCCACTCGTTCTTTTAGTGAAAACCTGCTGAAGTTTGACCACTACCTGGTGCCATTTACTCTGTTTGAGTTGGCGTTTTTGTACAAAAGCCAAGGGGACATTGACAAGGCCTTTAAGGTCCTGGAAACTGCAAGGTGAGTGGTGATAGAAGCTCCTCTAGGGTGGCAGTGGAGTTAGGAATGTCCGTACCATTATAGCAGCAGTGATAGTACATGCACACTTAAAAGTTAAAACATGAACGAAAGGTAGTTACAACGCTACCTTTGCTAACTTATGCTTCGTTTATGCTCATGGCTTTTGCTGCAATTGTGCTGTTTTCAACCTTCTGAGTGCCTGGCCCTGTGACCGTTTACAGAGGTTGTGGTTGTGGGCTTCTGTCTGACAGATATCTAGTCTAATCTATTCTATATCAGAGGTCGGCAAACTGTTCCTAAAGGGCCAGATAGAAAGTATCTTTGGCTTTACAGTGTGAGGTCTCCACTGCAGCTACTCAATGGTATCGAAAGCAGCCACAGGAGATGGTATAGAAATAAGTGGATGAGTCCAGATTTAGCCATAAACTTGATAATAATTTGCTGACCTTTTCTAATTTCCTTGAAGAAGCTCTTTGAATCTTCCCCTGGCTCTCTCTATTTTCTGTCTACTCTGGCCATTTCAAAGCACATATTATCATTTCTACTACATAATGGCTCACAGACATGTGATCATGGTCTGTTTGTCCTGAACACTTCTTGCAGTGGGTAGAGAATGCCATGGGTAGCTCTAGGCCATAAATAGCTTAGTGGTTTGTTGGTTTGGTCATTTACTCAAATTCAGCAAATATTCACTGAGCACCTCTTATGTGCCCAGCATAGTAAAGGCTCTAGAGAGACAACTGTACATAAACCGACAATGTTCCTGCTCTCTGAGTAGGAGGGAGATATTAAATAAGCAAGTAAAAAAATAGCAGTGGTATGTGTTTTGCTGAGACTCACATTCTGATACAAAGTACCGGGCTGTGGCTTTAGGTTGGGTTGATTCTGGAAGGTCTTCTTGAGGAGTTGATGTTGTAGTTGATATTTGCCTAAGCAGAGCCAGTCCTGAGATCAGTCAGCAGAAGACTGCGTGGGGCACATTCCTGTCTGGAACCACAGCTAAGTAACCTCCAGGCTAGGGGGTGGAGTCACTAGGTCAATAATGATGATGGGGAATCATCATTTTTATTGAGATGGGGAATCCTTAGAGGGTTTGGGGAGATAAAAAAAATACTTCTGTTTGGACCATGATGTTTTGAGGAGCCTACGAGGTATCCACATGGAGATGGTGAGTTGGGAGTCAACTGTAGAAGCATGGAGTTCAGTGGAAAGGTAGATGCCACATGTGGAGATTTCAAAGTCACTAGCACAGACACAGAGGTATTTGAAGCCATGATACTTGATGAGGTCATTTTGGGAAAGAGAGAGAGAGAGAGAGAGAGAGAGAGAGAGAGAGAGATCCAGCACACAGCCTTGGGATATGGTATCATTTTAATGAGAATAAACAATAAGAATAAGGAGAAATAGCCACTGAGTCAGGATGACATCCAGGAAAGCCAAGTGAACAAAGTGGTTAGTTGTAAAGCTAGCTGCTGAGAGGTCCACTAAAGTGAGACTAGAGAAGTGAACTTGAACTCTTTCAGGATGTTTTTCCTGAAAACACAATAATGGGGCAGAAGCTCCAGGGGCATGGTGGAGCCAAGGAAGCCGCCTTCTTCCTCCTCCTCCTCCCTTCTTCCTTCTTCCTTTTTTCTTCCTCCTCCTCTTTCTTCCTTCTTCCCCCTCTTTCTCCTCCTCCTCCTCCTCATTTTTCTCCTTGTTAGTGAGAGATATGAGAACAAATCACTTTTAAAAAATTAATTTGTTGGGAGTGATAATGACACATTTCAACTGACATGTATGTGTCATGAGATGTAGCTCATGGAAAATTAGGGACTATAAATACTATCATTCCAAGTATTCATTATTTGTACATATTTAATGTTACCTAAGTAGCACATAATAAGGCAAATTTGTAATGATGAAAATGAAAGACTAATAATTCACTACTGAAAAACAAGACCAGCAGTGATCAAAAGTCACCACTAACTCAAGCCAGTGCTGATGATGCCAACATAAACAGTCTTCCCAGTAATTCCAGGACAATTGTCTGTAGTTCCCCTTATGTAGTAGGAGCCTTGCAAAGGTGCTAAAATTTATGACCAGACATTTAGGAAAATACTCAATTATATCCTTTGGTAAACTCTAGTAAGATGTTGATTTAGCTTATGAATAATGACCCTTACTATGAATAATAACCCTTTTCAGGGTTACCAGTAAGTAGTACTTAGATCTGCATAGAATGAAGGGCTGTGTAAAGAAAGAAATGCCACTGCAAAGAAAGAAGTTACAGCTCACCCATGGGCCAAAGCAATGGGTGAAAGCAGGAGCCCAAAGTCGAAGCCATTCCACTTTGATCACTCTTAACAATTCTAGCAAAGAGAAGTCATGAATGATCTCAGTAAAGTTTTTACATTATCTGTGGATTTTAATGGCCTGGCCCCTTCTGACATTGCTATACAGTAATTATTGGCCAAACCGTTGCTATTTGCCGGTGAGAATTGGAGTAAGTGATTTTGGTATCACGGGGTAATCCTGCTGTCTTTGCTGCGGTTGTTGTTTCATGGGAGTCTCAAGATAATTATTTGGAGGAGGTTGTGATCCATCAAGTTCGCCTCGTTTGTATGAGGGGCTGCCTTAGCATTTCCAGTTCAGAAAAGGAGGTCAGCTGTTTAAGAATAGTTCACGAAATTGTTAAGCCCTCCTCATAATCTTCTTGTGGTGTTTGTGAACGGCTTGGTAGTGAAGTAGAAACTTGGTACTCAAAGTCTGACTTTTAGGTCCTCACCAGGAAACTTCTAGAAACAAAGAATATTGCCATCCCCCTCTCTTCACAGGACGCCATCTACATTTTAACAATATTGACTGTTAGGCATAGTCAAGTTTGAAAGCAAATAAGGAGTGAATATGAGAGGAGGGGGGGATGGTGGTGGTGGTCGGGTATAGAAGAACTTTTGACATTTCGATTTTGTTGTTATTGTCTTTAGAAACAACTACAAAGATTACTCCATGGAGTCTAGACTGCACTTCAGAATTCAGGCAGCTCTTCAACTCTGGAGAAAGCCTTCCTCACACTGATCAGAGCCTGGAGGATGGATGATCGCCCCTCCGTTAACCCACATCTGCTATAGATTAGCCCTTGTATTAAAGTGGAAAAGTGATCTTGTGAATGAGAGAAAAAAATAATTTTATTGTCAATATTTTCTATCATGTGTGTGGTTTACTGTTGTTCTACGTGAATGTTTCCCCTCCTCTTCCCCCCCCCACCCCCATGGAATAATGTTCAGTACAATCTAGGAAATTCTTATATTTTGCCTCTTCAAAAAGAATTTCATATTAGGTTTCAATTGGAGAGGGGAAGTCTTTTAAAGGACTCACAGGTACAATAAAGCCTAATCAGATTATTTATTTTTTTTAATATGGAAATTAATATTGTTTAAGTAGCAAATGGCTTACAAGTTGAGCCATTTTTAGTTTTGTTGGTCAGTTAAACTTCAGAGTTATTTTGTTGCCTAGAATTTAAATTTCAGAGGGGAAATAAAATCACTTACATTCGTAATAGCTTAATAACCTCCTGAAGAATCCTGAAAAAGACAGGCAGTGGTGTGAACAGGGATGGGATCATGTAGTTAAAAGGTTGAAAAGACCTGTATCTAGCAGAGATGGTGAAATATTGTTAGTGTTTTTTTTTATTCATCATGTAAATTAAATGTGGTGGCATTTTTGAGAGACTATCCTGTTTTTGAATGTACTTAAGTCTATTATAATAACAAAAATTTAAAAAATGTGTATCTAAAGGGAAGAAAAAGTTATATTTTAGACAATATCCTTAGCAATGATAGCCTGAAATATATATATATATATACATTGATTATTTTTCTTATATGAAGCAAAGTTCCTGCTGCTTTAAATGATATGTAAAATATTAATAATTTTTACATTCATGATGTTGGTGAGTAAGATCTAATTTTCTAATCTCTCTAGCACTGTGACGGTTCCTTGTAAATATCTGGACTGTGTTTAGTCCTTTCATTTTGGAAATGCAATCGGGACATTGAGTGGGAGAGAGTCCGACTCCATGCGGTCCTGGCTCTGCTACTGGTTAGCAGTTACCAGAGTGACCTTGATGGAGCCCCCGCTCTCTGTAAAATGGGAAAAGAACAGAGATGATTATCAAGGTCTCCTTCAGTTTTAGAACTGTCAGTATTTTAGGTATTTATTTTCAGCAAACAATGTTAAAATGTTTAATCCGAGTCACTCCCACTTAGAGTATGTTTTTATTTTGCAGTCATCAACCCCCAACCCCCAAATATGTATGTTTTGTGAATAAGGACCAGTTTGTATTCTGAGCGAGGAAAACAATTTGGGAATCCATGAGTCAGGGTTTTGTCCTATTTCTGCCTCTGTTTTGAAGACTAACTTGTCATGGAAGCCTATGCAGTTTAACGGAAACCGCCTAAGATTGGGAGCCAGGAGCTCATCTCTATTAGTTGGTAGTTCCTCAGCCTGCAGCAAACCATTCACCTCTTCTGGGACGCATTTTCCCTAATGGGGATAGCCTCACAGAGCGTGGTGCTTGTGAGGGCTCAGTCAGATAATGCAGAGCCATATGCGTGGCTTTGTGTGAACTGTGAAAGGCCATATGAACATGAGTTGTAATGATCATGGTTTTTATGCACCAATTATAGTATCAGTACAGAGGTATTGGCTGAGTCTGTGTTCTCTGATGTAAAAGGAGAAAAGCATGGAAATTCTATCACCTTTCAATGTATTCATGTATTTGACACTGACAGCGGCCCAGATTGCAAATTTATTTCTTGCTACTTATTCCCTGTGACAGGAGCCTGTCCTCGCAGGTGTTTACCTTGTTTTCTTTAAGGTATTTGTCCAATACTGAGAATGTATTTCCAACGGAAGATGTTAATACAGTTCGAGTCAGATGGTATGGTGGAAGATCTGAATATGTGCTATTAAATGCATTATGTAACTTACTGCAGGTCCAGACAAAAGAGGAAATAAAATAAACTGTCATTACAACTAGTAGTGGAAAACATGTTTAATAATTATTTTTTGTATAACCGGGGAAAATGTTTATAATTCCTTAGAAGAGCTTTGGTAGCATTATTGTTTTTAAAGTAAAAACATCCACATTATTTCTGCGAGAAGCTGTAAGTCAGTGAAAGTCAGTAATAAAAATTCTCCTTTTGGTATAAAAGGAAAACAAAAGCCAATAGTAGTTATTTTTATTTTATTTGAACTCTGCATTATAAAAAATATAAAAGTAATTCATATCTATTTAAAATTTCACTTAGTTATTTTTTAAATTTTATTTTTATTGTTACTTCCTATTGTTTTTATGGTTAATCTATCCAATGGATTTTTAAAAAAATATATTTTATTGATTTTTTACAGAGAGAAAGGGAGAGGGATAGAGAGTTAGAAACATCGATGAGAGAGAAACATCGAGCAGCTGCCTCCTGCACACTCCCTACTGGGGATGTGCCCGCAACCAAGGTACATGCCCTTGACCGGAATCGAACCTGGGACCCTGGAGTCCGCAGGCCGACGCTCTATCCACTGAGCCAAACCGGTTAGGGCTCCAATGGATTTTTAAGTGCTGTAATATCACTAATGGTACAAATATTAATCTGTTTCCTGCCATGTTTAAGATATTATGACACCAGTGTCTTGTGCCATCAGCTCATATTGCATTTTTGGAGTTAGTTTGTGATTCAGGGTGTTCTCTATAGAATGAGTACTGAAGTGACAATGTTTTATCTAATGTTTTTAGGGGCATATGTGGGAGAGTTGGGCTGCCAACGTGTCTGACAGTTTGTGCAATTTGTGTAGTTCTTGGCTTAATTGCCTTTCTTTTAAAAAAAAAGGGAGAACCAGAGTTCTGATTGGTGCTGTGTAATTTTAAGACTCAAGTAGAGGTTATGCTTGGTAGGACGGTGACAATGTAGGCATGACGTCCGCTTGACAACTAACAGAAGATTAACTGCATAAGCTCTTTTATGGACATTTTAATGTTTCTGTGCTTCTCCTGGATACAAGAAGGCCCAAGTTACATAGGAAAAGAGAGTCCATTGATTTTCTATCTCTTTGGCAAGTGGGTCCAAACTGTAACAAGGTGAATTCCAGATCAATCAGCGTCCAAGATTTTAAGTCACTGAAACAATCCAACAGCAGAACCATCTCTTTGGCAAAGTTGTAGTCTAGCAGAGCTCTGTGATTAACATTCCAACCTGGCCTGGAAGCTAATGGTTTAACTTTGAGGTTAAAACACCCCATCAGTCTTTGAATAGGGCTTCAAATCGGAGGGATGTGTGTAAAGATGAAAGTTGTCCCCTTTCAAAGAAAAGTGTTTCCTCTTTTGAAGCTATGTTTAAAGGTAGTTACATTTTGATATGCACCAATAGCCTCTGCTATTAATACTCATTATGGTTCTAATTCTCACCCATTTCTTTAAATAAGTCTGTTGATGTTTTCAAATAGATGCTTTCCTGCTTTTGCACATTAGACATAACGATTAAAAAAAAGTCTTTGTGACCAACTGGAATTACTCAATTCTCCATTGACTTTAAACAATATTTTTGTTTCTTCCTGTTCACTAAGTATTTATAAATCAAAAATTCAAATACATTTAGTGAAAATGAGTTAACGAAGACTCCAGTGATCATTTTGATGCTGAAGATTTGGGGATTCATCAGGCCTGGAGTGGATCTTGGAAAATTGTCTCATCCTCCCTGATCTCTGAACAGTGTTGTTTCTCCTTCAGTCCTGCTCTGCACAGTATGGTAGCTACCGGCCACATGTGGCGGTTGAGCACTTGAAACATGGCTGGTGACACATGTTGGAAGGATGCTGAGTGTGGGGAGCACTCACACATGCTGCAGTTCTATTTAGGGGTCTCCTAATACTGGGCTGCCCGGAGCTCTGGCTTTTTAATATGATCATCCAGTCACCATGTTGTCAATTGTGGTTCAAATATATATTGGTGGGATTTACCTTTTCTGCTTTAGTACCCATAAACTTTCATTTCATCCTGTTCTGCAGATGATCAAGGTCATTGGCACATTTGAACATGATTCCTTTCCTACCCACCAGAGCTCCTTACATACTAAATTAAGAGAATTGATTTTTTTAAGATTACTATTTTAATCTGATTTTCCCTACTTTTTCAGATGCAACATCACAAACTGTTAGAGTTGTAGAGGAAGTGACTCTCATTTTTGGGACTTAGTAGACTTTATGATTAAAATAATATTTTTATAAGTTTAACATTATTCTGAAAATTTTCAATCCCTGAACCTTTCATTCCTTTATATTATCAATGTTTCAACATTAACTCAGCTAGGCCAATTATTACTATTTAAAGATTTTAAGGTACTAGTTATCCACTTACAGAATAATTTTTAGGTACTAGTTATCCACTTACGGAATAATTTGGCAGGTAGTTTATTTAAAGTTATATATTTTATGCCTTTGCTGCCTATTATTATTTTTAATATGTATGATACCTAAGTAAAGTGCATACATATAATTGACATATCTTAATCTCGTTAGACATTTCTTGATCAAATGCACAGGTAGATAGATAAATAGACAGAAAACACCAAACAAATATTAAACAGACAAGCTTTACACTCTTCTCTCAGGGATGCGGGATTTCCTCCAGGTTGTTTCCCCTTCTCAGACCAATTATTTACATATTTTTTCTTTATTTGTCAAGCACTTATTGTGAAACCCTATTCCTGCTTCTCATTGTTGATAGTTTTATCCTTGGTACACCTTCTGTTAGCTTGAGTTACTTCAGAAAGTTGAACTTGAAATGTAATAAAAAGGACACATCAGCAGTTACTAAGAGAGACTCTTCTGTGTTGAGCAGTTGCTGTCTGACCTGGATGGTGCTGACGGCCACACCGGTCTGTTCATAATGTCGGAACTACAGGAAGAAATGATGCAAGGACTGTTTAAGTGGATGGAGAAGACTGAGCAGGTACATGGCCTGATCCATCTGAAGGAAGAGGTAGACAGCGTCAGAGGAAGTCCAACCCCATTCTGTCCAGTTCATAAACGTGTAGCAATCCTGTAACTCGACATTGCATGGAAAAGTCAAAGCACGCACCCCACTGTAGTTCACTAACAAAGAAGTCACACAGACACCTATAGATTGGACAGTTACTAGGAAAACTCAAGAGACTTGAGTACCAAACTTCATTAAATAAGACTTGTTGCATATTAATATACCTTGTATGTTAACCCAGTAGTTCTTAGAAACACATAATTTAAAAGATGAATATAAGGGATGCTGACACATGCAGGCAGGGACTTCCATTTTATTGTTACTTGATGTTTTCTAGCATATTGGTTTTAATTATTGGTAGTCTGGTACCATGTAGGGAGAAAAAGTTGGTCTCAGTGTAACAGAACCGTTAGCCAGAGAAGTTGGATACAATGAACATGTTAAAGGACATCACTTATCATTTCAATTTTAAAGGAATTATGTTAATTTGAAAGGCTGGAAGGTCTTTTTCAATCAGAAGGGATGCTTCTCCCTGCTTTGGAAATCATGCAGACATTTTTAAAAATTGAATTTATTGGGATGACATTGGTTGGTAAAATGATATAGCTTGGAGGTATATAATTCTATAATACATCATCTGTACATTGAATTGTGTTCACCACCCCAAGTCAAGTCTCCTTCCATCATCATTTATTCCCCTTTTACCCTCTTCTACCTCCCACCCCCCTTTTCCTCACCATATTGTTATCTGTGTATATGAGGTTTTTTCATAATCCCTCACTTTTTTCACCCAGTCCCCCAAGCCTTCTTCCTCTCTGACAGCTGTCAGTCTGTTCTCTGTATCTGAGTCTGTTTCTATTTTGTTTGTTAGTTTATTTTGTTCATTAGATTCCACATATAAGTGAAATTGTATGGTACTTGTCTTTCTCTGACTGGCTTATTTCACTTAGCATAATATTCTCCAGGTCCATTCATACTGTCACAAAAGGTAAGATTTTGTTCTTTTTTATGGCCAAGTAGTATTCCGTTATGTAAATGTACCACAGCTTTTTTATCCACTCGTCTACTGATAAGTCCTTGAGCTGCTTCCAAATATTGGCTATTGTAAATAATGCTACAGTGAACATAGGGGTGCACATATTCTTTCTAATCTGTGTTTTGGGTTTCTTCAGATAGATTCCTAGATGTGGAATTGCTAGGTTATAAGGCAGTTCCATTTTTTAATTTTTTGAGGTAACTCCATACTGCTTTCCACAGTGGCTACGCCAATCTGCACTCCCACCAAGAGTGCACGAGGGTTCCCTTTTCTCCACATCCTCTCCACCACTTGTTGTTTGTTGTTTTATTGATGATTGCCATTCTGACAGATGTGAGGTAATATCTCATTATGGTTTGAATTTGCATCTCTCTGATGATTGGTAATGTTTAGCATCTTTTCATATGTCTGTGGCCAGCTGTATGTCCTCTTTGGAGAAGTGTCTATTCGGGTTCTTTGCCCATTTTATAATTGGATTGTTCTTTTGGTTTTGAGTTTTATGTTTTTTATAAGTTTTGGGTGTATCATTGGCAAATATCTTATTCCATTCAGTGGGTTGTCTTTTCATTTTGTTGATGGTTTCTTTTGCTGTGCAACAGACATTTTAATTTATTCTTATTGGATCCAAGTATTCAGGTGGCAATTTTGGGCATAGTAAATGAGTTAAAGCAGTTTTCATTAATTCACTTTTTTTCTGAAGTGATTTTATTATTCATAGTAAACATTGTTTTCTGTACAATGATTTGTTTTTTTACAAAAATGATTTACATGAAAAGAGAGATTATGGTAAACACTAGAAATCTTAGGCTATTAATTTAATGTCTTAAAAAATAGTACTATTGGCTTCTATTTAACTAAGACTTGCAAAAGGAAACACATGTTTCATTGATATGTGCTGTTCAGAAAACTTCATGCTCAACAATGTTTTGCATTCTTATGATGTTAGAGTACAATTTTATAACTAAGTAGTTTATGATTTATTATTTGTTCCCTTTGCTAACTATTGACATCCAAACACCTAAATGAATACCAGCTGACTTAATTATGTACTAGTGTTTTAAAATATTTATTTGCAAATGTTCATAAGATCTCTTGAATTTTTTGATGTAAGTTGCTAAATCATAGGTAAAAGCAAAATATATATTTTAATAAGTGAGAAGTATTATTACTGAAATTTACTTCCAAAGCAAATTTATTTTATAGGTACTTCACTTGGGAAATTTTACTTTGCCTTAAAACACACGAACAAAATAAACCTGTTGTGTGATCTAAAAATAAAAACCTAAAACACTTATGCTAACCTTGTTGTGTAGGGGGGATTCTGAAATTCTTTGATAATATTTATTTTTCATTTTGATTTGAATTAAACCAGAATAGTTAGAGTCCATAGTGTTTTGTGAATCAATGTATGGTTTTCTGTTGAATCATCAAAGCTACCTGTGCTTCATAATTAAATGTTTTCTTAGTAGAAATCGTCGGCATTTTATCTCACTCTTTCTCATCACATTTGAACTTCGTTTCTCTCTTTCTCACTCCTGGCCATCACAGCTTTGCAGAGCAAGACACTTTTAGAAATGGAAGATGTGCGAGTTCTATGTAAGACGAATGAATGTGTTAGTAGCATCCATCTGCTGATCAAGTAGGCATTGGATTTGGTACCAGACAGTGAAAGAGTGTAGCTATTAAAGCATTTTGTCGATATAAGTCAAGAAGGAAGGAGAAAACTGTGAAGTTCGGATATTTTTACTATAAAACTGTGTTCCCAAATGAGAATTCGCTTGCTGGTTTTCTGTTAGTGTTGTCATCTATGATTTGTAGGCTAATGCTGATATGAGATATAAATTTTCATCATGAAGATAACAGTCCCTGTGGCCTATTTTTAACATTTTTTTGAAAACAGATGTCATCCTAGAAACTGTATTTTTAAGTGCAAATAAATCATCCCAACTTGAAAGTCGATGTTTTCTTTTCATTCCTTAGTATTACAGAATACCCTGCATAGTGGATGCATGCTTAAGTTGCCAGATAGTCTCAGAATTCTATATTTACTTATTGCTACAACTGGTTTACCTACAACATACAACTGAATTGTTATTTAAATACATTCCACTTGGTGGAATAACAGTCTTATTCTGGTTTGTCTACATGTGAAAAATATACATTACATCTATTTTGCTGATTTTTAATTGCAGTGCAAAGTATACCTGAATTTTTGTTTCTTGTTAAAGGCCCTTCTTTATGCTGTGTTCTTGGCTGAGCACTGGGCATGAAGAGATAAATGGGATGGTACAGTTTCTTGTGGAAGGAGTGCCTTCTTGTTCATGTTTAAAGACTCTATTTAATAGTCCTGAGGTTTAGATTAGCTGCTGATAGATTTGGTTTAAGGAGGCATCTTTAGCATTCATTGCCACACCGTGGTCTGCATTTGAGACTGAACTTGGCTGGGTAGTGGCATGTGATTTGCCCTTCCCAGCAACTTCTCTGAACTTTGACTAACCCCCCTGTAAAGTGGGGATAATTCCATGACCTTATTCAGCTCTAAAGAGGATCAAAGGAGGAGGCATGCAAGAACCACAAAGGGCTAATCCAGCATAAAATATTCCCCCCACTGCCCCCCTGCACGCATCAGGGGGAACTACCATCTGTCTCTAACCTGGTGCTCCTGCCTGTGGTGGCTTTTCATGTTGTGTTTCAGTAACCAAGGTTCTTTCAGTCTGTGGCTCTGCCATCTTGAGTGCGTGGCTGCTACGGTCACTGTTCTTCTGCATCAAGTTGCCCAAGGGGAAAAAGCCTGGAGGGTTGTGTGAGGGAGGGGATGCATATGTCTGTTCACATTCCACTGGTTCAAGTTTAGTCAACTTGCTTGGCCTCCTGTCAAAAGAGGCAGGGAAATGGCCCTGGCTGATTTGGCTCAATGGATAGAGTGTCGGCCTGCAGACTGAAGGGTCCCGGGTTTGATTCCGGTGGGAGCACATCCCTGGGTTGCAGGCTCGATTCCCAGAAGGGAGCGTGCAGGAGGCAGCCTATCAATGATTCTCTCTCGTCATGGATGTTTCTATCTCTCTCTCCCTCTCTGAAATCAATATATATATATGGCAAGGAATGTAGCCTAGCTGGAGGGCTGGGGAGGAGGAAATGGGTGTGGTGAACAGCTTGTCTGCCACATCCCCATTTGGGCTGGCCCACCATGGTCTTCCCAACGTGTTCCCTGCTTCCACGTTTGTCTTTTGTTTGTTGGCATGAGCAGGTCGGTGGATTTGGGAACATATTAGTTATGAGTCTTTGGGTTGGAAGTAAAGAAAACTTGAGCTGGTGTAAAAACAAAACACCGAGGATGGTATTAAACGGATAAAAGATCAAGTGTGCCTTGTGGAACCCATGGGCAGGAGTGTGGAGTATAGTTGAGTAATATGAAGCACAAACGAGAGAATGAGCTCTTCCTATGAAACTGGGCCTTTATCTGGCTTTTTGCAGACTCCCATCTATCTAAAAGGTAGGGTGTCATTAGAGCTTTTTGGGGGGATGGGGGGAGGGAAGAAGCCAAGCATACAATCTGAAATTTTAATTAAGCAGATTTGACACTGTTACCAAGAAGCAGCTGTGAGGGGGAAGATCGGTGCATTTTTAGCCCAGCTTTGAAAGGCTCAGATAGTCTCTGAGCAGAATGCAGCAAAGTGCCACAAATCATGTTTTCTGGGAAACCAGTTATATCAACACTACATGCCAGCCAGCGCCAAAAATAACACGAAAAGAACCGACTGCAAATCTATTTAGAACTGAGCCAGTAATTATTTTGTT